CCATTCCTTTGATGCTGGGACCTCATGTAATGTTATTATACGATTGATTTGGTCTTTGTAATTCATTTGATTCATCTTTGGGGTCACATTAGCCATGTAGGCTAATATGGGTCATCGCTTCCGCATTTGTGACCGTTTTTGAACCTTTTATCCTTAGCTTTCACAGTTACTCTTATGTTTGAGTCTTATTGAATTTGTTTGTGATTCCATTGTTGTCTTGGAGATAGTATTCATCTCTAGTGACATATTCCTTGTATTCGCTTTCGCATTCAGACTCGATATTGGGTCAGGTTTTGGTCTTCTTAATTAATGCACCGGATAATGGGATTTGGGGCGCTACAAAATCCCTGGCTGAGGAGTTGTTGAATCTGATCTTTCAGCTCTCGCGTCTCCATTGGTTCCATTTTGTACGGTGCCTTAGAAATAAGCGTAGTGCCTGCAACTAAGTTAATAATAAAGTCTATCTTTCGACTCAGTGGCAACCCTGGGATTTTCTGAAAAACATCATGAAACTCCTGTACTACTAGAATACTATCAAGAGACAGAGTGGTTTCCTCTATGGAATCCTCATCTGTATAAAATAACTGGGTGCTAAAACCACCATTGGGTCGTGGCATAGCAATAAGATACATCTCCTGTCTTGGTATAGTGAATACAATAGACTTGTTATGGCAATTAACTTGAGTATAGTATTGAGATAACCAATCCATCCTAAGTATCACATTATAAGAATGTATATCCAAAACCAATACATTGGCTAGAAATTTGAGTCTACAAATATTTATGGTGATATTCTTTCAACTCTTACGTAAAACCGTACCAACTCCCAAAGAGGTAGAAATGTTAAGGGATTGGTCACACGGTTGAGCTACCATCTTAGATAAAGTAACAAAAGATATAGACAAAAAAAAATATGATGCTCCTATATCAAATAAAACACAACAAAGTTTACCATGTATAGGACACATACCCTCAATGGATTGAGGAGTCTGCACATCATAAGGCATGACACTATATACTCTGCCATAATGCAACTGCTTTGCGGGTTGCCCCAGAGGCGGTAGTGGTGCTAGTAAAGTTGGAAAAGTCTAAGCCTAAACACGTGGAACTATAGAGCAGGTAAACGTAATGGATGTCTCTGCCCGTACTGCCCATGCTATCCCTGATTAGCTTTTAGACACCTTCTGGCTGTGTGCTCAAGCTCTCTACATCCATAAAAATGTCCCTTAAAAGGATATGACTGCCTCCTGGTGTGAGGCTCGATCTATACCTAAAAATGATGTAAAAAGTGTGAGTGTGAGAAATGGCCACCATATTTAGAATTTATAAAAACCACTTAACACTATACTATGTACTATGAGTGAAAAGGGATCATCCCAAGGGATTTGCAAGGTATTACGGAATTGAATTTGGGTTAGTAAGTCGAATGATCAAAGATGGGTTTGATTGGTTGAATTAAGCTAATGATTCAATTAAAAACATGCAAATTAAGAACAATCTAGAGATTAAGGGATAGAGAATGAGAGAGAAGTCTTGGGACAAAGAGTTCACCACTAAGCTTCAATTTATTAAACATTAGCATTTGTCAATTTAAGGGGATTCCATATTGTAAAACAAATGTGTGCCATTAATTAAAATACTAAGCATGGATGGTGATAAGCGTCAAATATTTTATATTCAAGCGCCCTTAATTGCATTAGTTAAGTCCATTTTTTGGTCTTTGTATATAGACTATCTTCATTTTTTGTGTTCTTGTCTATTTTCAGGTGTACTCTCCAAAAAGAAATAAAAAGAAGACTTTAAGAGTTTTTGAAGATTAAATGCATTTCGGGATTCAACATCTAGGGCTAGTCTAGAAAAGAGGTTCCAATGGACCTATGGAAACTCTCAGCGACGCATTTGGATGAAGAAGGACTTAATGGTCCAAAGTTGAAGAAATGCAATACTGTTGCATTTAGGCCAAGGCATTTTGGCACCTCGCGTCCGGACGCCAATTCTCGAGTCCGGACGCCGTGCATTCTTACCTCTCGTCTAGACGCCAGTCCTTGCGTCCGGACGCCAACCTATGGATAGCAATGTTTCCCCACTTTTCTTTGGTCAAAGTTTGTTCCTTTTTACTAGGTAATTTGAAATTTGATGGGTTCGGGTCGTTTGGCAGCTCATTTTGGGATTAAGAGGGAGCAAAAAGCTTATATTATGATTATTAATTTTATTGAGAAAGATATATTGAGAGAGAGGGGATTTTCTTAGGGTTTATATGTTATATTTCATTCATAAGGCTAGGGTGGAATTCATCTTCTACTCCTTCAATCATTGAAGCTGTTGCTATGTCCATGAGAAACTAACTTACTTCTTAGGGGGTTGATGAAGCCCTTCCAAGTAAACATGCTTTGATTGTATAGTAATTTGGGGAATAATGTATGTATATGATAGATTTCATAGTCTAGAGATTTACACATTTTGTAAATTGGGTTTCATTCAAATAAATAAATATGTGGAATTGTTTATCTTGTCTTAGATTTCAGTTATATATATTTATATTCCTTGCATCTTTATAGTGAGAATAAAGATGAGACTATGAAATGGTTTTTAATGGCATGTTGTGTGAAGAATTTGATAGTCCATAACTTAGGGATGTCTTTGATGGATTATGGCTTAGTTTTTACCTTCATGTGCATATACTATATATGTTGAGAAGTTTAATAATCCATACCTTAGGAAACATGTTCTAATCTACACACTAGTTTAGGTAGAGGAAGCATGCCAACCTTTGATGGGTTATACTTAATTCCTAATTATATGACATTCTTGAAGAGAATGTGGTAATCATACATTGCTACATATCATGGTTGTATACATAGGTAGTTCCCCAAGTAAATTGTAATTGAACATGTTTATGAGGTTTATGGTGCATTCAAGTCCCTAGCTTTACCTTTATAAGTTTAAATCCACTTAAATTCATTTATTTTCTATTTTTGTTAAATTTCAATTCGTAACTTAAAGTGACAACTCAATCAAACTATCATCTCTTTTATATCAAACTAAAAGTAATTTTACAACTTTAGTTGTCATAAACTAGCAATCCTTATGGTTCGACAAACCCTTATAATAGCCCTATTCTACATTGATATATGTGCTATTGCAAGTGGTAATTTTAAGTGCTAACAAATTATTGCCATCAACTTTTGGCGCCGTTGCCAAGGATTGCATACGGTTTTGTAATCAAAGTTTAAAAATTACTTTGTGTTTGATTGTATACATATATTTTTTATTTTGGTGTGTTTTATGTTTTTAGTGTTTTTGTGTTACTAGAAACTAAAGACTTTTCATGTGATCTGATTGCAAAATTTGAAGTCTTAAGGACTGGGTAAGTTTTTGAAGTTTCTAGTTTATTCGTTGTTTGGCCCTTGTCGAGGCTATTGTAATTTTTTGTTTTGTTTAGAGCATAGGTCCTTGTCGTGGCCATTTCAATCTGTTTTTCATTATTGTTGAATCAAGGATAAAAGGATCAATGTATGTGGATGTATTGGTGAAGGGTTGTTGTGTTTGTTAGTTGATGGTAAGTTGTAGGTCATCGTCTTTACCACATCTTGAGGAACCAATTGATATTGCTTTAATCGACAAGCTAATCTCGAAAATGCTAATCTTGAAAATCCTAGAGCTGAGAATGAAAATGTAGCCCCAATGACTCTTAGGGATCACTTTGTACCCTCAACATATACATCTCCATTATGCATTGTCATGCCCAATGTTGAAGCTCATCATTATGAGATCAAATCTACCAAATGCTTCCAATTTATCATGGGTTTGATAATGAGAACCTTTATAAACATCTTGATGAGTTCTTCGAAATCTGCTCCACCATCAAGATGAGGGACTTCCCCCAAGATGCACTTCATATGCTTCTCTTCCCATTCTCTTTGAAAGATAGAGCAAACTATTGGTTGAACTCTCTTATTGCAAATTCCATCACTTCATAGGTCCAATTGTAACAAGAATTCCTTAAAAAGTACTATCCTGTGAGTAAGACCAACCAAATGCGTCGATCCATTCTTACTTTTTTCCAAATCGATGGGGAATAATTTAATGAGACATAGGAAAGACTTCAAGATTTTCTGAGGAAGTTTCTGCACCACCAAACTCCAAAGTGACAATTGGTGCAAGCCTTCTATGATGGTTTAACTGAACCACATAGACAATTAATTGATTCTTCGTGTGGGGGCAAGTTTATGTCCAAAAATCCAGATGATGCATGGACTCTACTTGAGAATATAAGCAAAAATTCTATGCAACATAGTTCTCGTAGAGTTTCTACTTCTAATGTTGGGAAACCCTCAAATCCGTGCCAACCACGAACTCTTAGGGAAGAATTCTCTCAAATGGATGCCATAGCCCGCACAATTTTTCAGTTTATGGCACCACATCCCTCATCTTCTCAAAATTCTTCATCCAGTACTATATATGCACATTGCACAAGCACTTTTCATAATGCAGAAGATTGCCCCACACCGGAGCAATTTTCTGGAGGTATGCTAGAATAGGTCAATGTCATGTTCTTTCGCCTTGGAAATAATCCTTATTCTAATACATACAATCCGGGTTGGAGAGACCATCCAAATTTCTCGTGGAGGCAACAAGCCACACAAAATTCGTCATTTCAAGGTCATGGGCAATCAAATCAATCTAATTCTCAACCTATGAACCGGCCATTTCAAGCTTCTTCAAGCTATCGTCCTCCATCCTATAATGCGAGCTCTTCTAATCAAAATCCTATTCCTATTCACCCGTCTTAATTGGATGAGATATTAAATTCCAATAAACAGATAATGGCTGCCATTAGTGGTATGCAATCAACTATGCAATTAGTTAATACTCATTCCCAAATAATAGCCAACATTGAAACCCAACGGGGACAATTGGCTACTTCTGTGAATCAGATTCACAAGAGGGACAGGGGAAAACTTCCAGCTCAACTTGTGGTGAACCCGAAAGGGTAATATATGATTAATGAAATCCCTCCTCCGAGTAGATCAAATCTTGAGCAAGTCCAAGCAATCACCATACTTCGAAGTAGAAGAATTGTGGATAATAAGGTTGATGAAAAAACTGAAACTCTTGCTCCCAAGAGTTCAAGTTTTTCATCTAAAAATCTGAAAGTTAGTCCAGAAATTCTAAATCCGCCAATCCCAAATGTTGAGACATCTTATGAGCCCAAGGCTCCTTTTCCTCAACACCTTAAAGAGTCCACACATTTTGGGAAAAAGGGGAATAAAATTCAGGAAATATTTGAAATCTTTAAGCAAGTAAAGATCAACACTCCTTTCCTTGATGCCATTAAGCAAACTCCACCTTATGCTAAATTTCTCAAAGATTTATCTACTTAAAAACACATTTTTAAGAGTAATACTCTTAAGAAGGTGAGGTTAACTGAGCAAGCAAGTGCAATCATTCAGCATAATACACCTCCAAAGTTTAAGGATCTGGGTGCCCCGACAATCTCATGTGTCATTGGAGACAATGAAATAGAAAAGGCCCTCATTGACTTAGGATTCAGTGTAAATCTGATTCCTTACTCAGTATACTTGCAACTTGGCTTAGGAGAACTCAAACTAACCATGGTTGTCTTACAACTTGCGGATAAATCTGTTAAACAACCTCGTGGTATCATTGAGGATGTAATCATCAAGGTAGACAAGTTCTACTTTCTAGTAGACTTCCTGGTTCTAGATACTGAACCAGTTCACAATCCCAAAAGGCACATTCCTGTGATCTTTGGTTGGCCTTTCTTAGCCATGGCTAATGCTTTAATTAATTACCGAACCGGGGTGATGGATATATTTTTTGGAAATATGAAGGTACAGCTCAATATTTTCAATGTTTTTCAACATCCTCCGGATGAAGATGGATGTTTCCTTCTTGACATCATAGATGAAGTGGTTGAAGAATCTCTCCCATTTAATCAAGATCCTCTTAAAACTTGCTTGGCTCACTTTGATTCTAAAGATTATAACATTGATCAATCTATTTGTGAAATCAATTCTTTACTTAAGGTCAATGCAATCTCAGTTTTTTCTTCTTGGAAATTGTCAAAAGAACCTCTTCTGCTAATTTCTAGCACTCCTCATGTTCTTTTGTTGAATTATCCACCTCAACTTGAGCTAAAGCCACTTCCGGCTAATCTCAAGTATGTATTTCTTGGTACGAACAAAACTCTTCCGGTCATTATTGCATCGGATCTTTCCAAAGACTAAGAAAACAACCTTTTAGTGGTGCTCCAAGAGCACAAAGAAGCTATTGGTTGGTCGGTGGCTGATTTAAAAGGAATTGATCCCTTTATTTGCATGCACCGCATTCTTTTGGACGAAGACACAACACCTTCCCGAGACGTGCAGTGTCGGTTGAATCCTAACATGAAGGAGGTTGTCATGAAAGAAGTAATCAAGTTATTAGATGTGGGGATCATCTACCCCATCTTAGATAGCGAGTGGGTAAGCCCCACTCAAGTTATTCCAAAGAAATTCGGCCTCACCGCAGGAGAACTTGTGCCACAATGCACCACCACTGGTTGGCGTGTGTGCATAGATTACCAGAAACTCAACTCTGCAACTAGGAAAATTCATTTTCCACTTCCATGCATTGATCAAATCCTAAAAAGGTTACCGGCTAAAGTTACTATTGTTTTCTTGATGGTTATTTTGGCTATAACCAAGTGGCTATAGATCCTCAAGATCAAGAGAAGACCACCTTCACTTGTCCTTTTGGAACTTTCGCTTATCGTCACATGCCCTTTGGGTTATGTAATGCACCAGCCATTTTTCAGAGGTGCATGATGTCCATATTTTCTGATATGGTCGAAAAATTTATTGAAGTATTCATTGATGAATTTTCTGTCTTTAGATCTTCCTTTGACTCATGTCTCCATAATCTATCATTTGTGCTTCAAAGATGTAAGGAGACAAATCTGATCTTAAGTTGGGAAAAGAGTCACTTCATAGTATAAGAAAGGATTGTCTTGGGACACATTATCTCTAAAAGAGGGATTGAGGTCGATAAGGCAAAAGTTGAATTAATTCACAGCCTTCCTCCTCCCTCTTCGGTGAAACAGATTCAATCATTTCTTAGTCATGCTGGCTTTTATCGTCGCTTCATCAAATACTTCAACAAGATATCCCGGCCTTTGTGCCATCTTCTTGACAAGGATACTACTTTCAGTTTTGATGAAGCATGTTTGGTCTCTTCCCTTTGAGATTATGTGTAATGACCCAGTCATTTTCCTTCCTTTCTTTTTTTTGGTAATTTCTTCTTTTTACCTTTTCCCTATTTTGTCTTTCTCCTGTTTATTATTTTTCCTTACATAACCTCACTTTTTGTGCTCGAATTTGATTTCGGCTTTGCATGCATCCATAATATTTGATTTCCATGATAATTGTATTTTTACTTTTGTAGAAAAATATTCTAGTTGCTTACTTTTTTCATAAAGGGCATGGATGCATACTTTCTTGGAAACATTCTTGATTTATAGGGTTTTAGTGTAATTATGTAAAGTAATTATTTTTCGTCTTAGGGACTATTTCGTAATTTAATTTGGAAGATATTTTGGAAAAGGACCTTTTTGTAATTTTTAGAAAGTGTGACAAGTGTCACACTCTCTTGGAGCCACTTGTTGGCATTAAGGTGGAGAGACTTGGAAGCATGATCTTGTGACATGTGGAGGGTGGAGATTCACCCACTTGTTGGCCTAGGATTGGTGCACTTTTTGGCTTGGATGGTTGACAAGTGTAGGCTTAGGTTAAGCCTAGGAAGAAGCCATGGATTGGTGACAAGTGTAGATTCCCAATTTAGTCGTGCATTAGTGTGTGTGTGAAAGGTAGTATAAGAGCACATAGTGAGTGGAAGAATACTAAATCCTCCACTCACCACATTTCATTTTATCTTCTTCATTTCCTTTGTTCTCAAAACCCTAACCTAGCCACCATTGAAGAAAATCTTGGCTTAGAGCTTATTACTTCATTTTGGCCTCCTTCCACTCACCTAAGACCTTTAACCTTGGGAAGTAAAAGTTTCCTCTCACTCTCCTTTACAAAACCCTAGTGAAGTTTCCCATTTTAAGCTTGGTTGCTTTGGAGTTTAGAGATTCAATTCTCTATTGAGATAGGGGTGGTAGTATGTTTATACTTTAAGTGTTTTATATTCCTTTGGGGTTTAATATATATTGTGTACATGCATTTAGAATTGTAGTATTGCATATTATAGGAAATCATCACATTTGACTTAGGGTTTGTTGATTTAAACATGTATGATATATATTTATCTTGTGTAGAATTTTTAATGGTATATACAATTCTTGTTGATTCAAATTGCTATATTTATTGTGGTGATAATTCTATATTCTTGTTGATTACTATTTGTAATTATTTTAGAAACTTATTACTATAATATTAAGATTTAGTATATAAAGCTTATTGTGGAGGCATGATTTAAATTGAAAAGTTGTTGGTATTGTATTGTACATTATATCATGATGAGGACTTGTCATTTGGTATGCCATTTTAGACTTGGAACCCTAAGACATGATTTGTGTGGTTTCAAAATACTTGTGTATGGAAGGTGGTTTACATGCCTTAAATATTATATATAAGTTTTGAACTTGATAATGATTTTGGATTCTCTTGGGACATTGTTACAAATGACATGGCTAGAGTTTGGCTCTAGTGCGGGAAGTACGAGTTCTCCCCATTTTTCGTGCGCACTAGGGTAGTATTCCCAGCGGGTTAGTGCCTAGAATAACCGTTTAGGTCTTGGTTTACTTCGGGATTTGATGTCCAAGTTTTCCACTAATTGAGTTGACAATCAATGCTTAATTGTGAGTTGTAATTTTAGTTCTTGGCGAATTAATGTTGTTAAGTACATTGATATTGATATTGTATTGTAATAAAATCATTTAAGTTAGCTTCAGATAATCCTTTAGAACACCTTGAACATAGACGTTAAGTGGAATGATCCCTTGTATTCGTCTATATTAATCTTGCAATAATATTGAGACTTTATGGTATACGCATATGCTTCTTCCTACGAGTAACTTGATTACTCACCCTAGTTGTTTGGGTTAAATTACAGGTAAGGAGACTATATTCGCGGATGCTCATTATCCTTAGGGGCTTATGAGCAATTTGGAACATTTTTGTATATTACCATGCAAATGTTTAGCATGCTTTATTTTTTATGTTATATTTTTGTATACCATGAATGTATGGTATTTTGTAAGCTAAGGTGGCTTCTTTGATGTATAATGTATATCTAAGCACACTTGGCGATGCTTATTTTGTATGTATGACATGAGGCCAAAGGCCTTTAAATTCAAAGTTCACAAGTATGTTTTAAAGCTCAAGTATTGCCATAATAGCCTATTTTGTGAGAATTGGAGGTTTGGTATGTCAAAATTTGAAAATGGATTATAATGAGGTCGTAAGCCATTATAGTGCATCTACTATATCATTTTACATTTGCGTGCATGTTCACATCTCACAAAACTCTTAAGTTTCGACTTTTGAACTATTTTTGGAAGATTTATGAATTTTTATGCAAAATTCATGCATTGGAGTAAGTTTCAAGCTTTCCTTTGGATTTAGCATGTTATGTATGCTTGTATGAGGCTAGGGAATGTTTTTAAACTTGTTTCAGATCATATGGGACGCATGTATAGCTTTAAGGTTGGACCGAGTACCTTCCCCACACATTGCAGCAGCAACTATTGCTGCTGTTTGCTGTGTCGGTCGGCTAACAAGAGCCATCAGTCGGCTGACAAACCCTCGAGACCAATTCCAGTAGGTTTGCTAGTGAAAAATGTCATTTTGGCCAGCTAATGATTGAGCTTCGGTCAGCTGATGATGGAGTTTCGGCCGGCTGGTCCTTGCCGTCGATCGACCGATCCTCCCTCGAGTTTTTCCTTTTCAGTTTTCCTTAAACAGCTTTCTTGCACTAACTTCAGAGGATCATATCTCCCTCGTTTTTAATCCAAATCAGGTCGTTCTTAAGTTTAAATTCAAGAGCTTGAAGTTAGATTTCCAATGGTACCAACCACACACCAAAACTCTAACCGTAGTATGAGTTTTTATTATTTTAATGAAATAGGTTCGTGGTTTCTCTTAAACGGTGAATGTCAATTTGTTCTATTTTCATATCTTTTTCGTCCGGACTCCGAATTAGGCGATTCTTGAGTCCAACTTCATTCATTTTTTGCTGTCTTTCCAATGGTATACACGGTGGCACCCATTTTAGTTGAAATAACCATTTTACCCTTGGTTCATTTCTTTTTGGGTTTGAAATCCTTGCTTCGGTACTTAACTCATTTGAATTCTGTGGCTTCATGGGGAGTCATTTTGGTGCCTTAGGGATGGGGTACATCTCTAGAGGCCATTTTACTTCTTTCACTTCTGTATTTCGGATTCGTCTTCGGGTTAACTTTAGGTCATCACTGACGTACCGGGTTTACAAAACTTGGGCCGTCACATCATGTGCGATGCATCCGACTATGCATTAGGTGTTGTTCTGGGTCAGCGTGTGAATAAAGCTCCTCATGCCATTTACTATGCTAGCAAGACCCTCTCAGATGCTCAATGGAATTATATAACAACTGAGAAAGAGTTGCTAGCTGTTGTCTATGCCTTAGACAAATTTCATTCATATTTTCTTGGATCTAAGGTCATTGTCTTCACGGATCATGCCGCGTTAAGGCATCTGCTTGCAAAGAAAAAGACCAAACCTCAACTCATTTGATGGATACTCTTACTCAAAGAGTTCAACCTTGAGATTAAAGACAGGAAAGGCACTGACAATGTTGTAGCAGACCATCTCTTTTAACTACTTATTAAGAACACTTCTGATTTTTCTCCAGTTCATAATTCCTTTCCAGATGAGCAACTGTTCCAGATTTCTCATATGTTGCCTTCTTGGTTTGTTAACATTGTCAACTATCTTGTGGTTGGAAAAATTCCATCCCAATGGTCTAAGCAAGAAAAAGATCGGTTCTTCGCTCAAATCAAAATTTTCTTTTGGGAAGACCCAGAACTGTTTAAGTATTGCCCGGATCAAATAATCCGAAGATGCATTCCTGAATATAATGTCCAAAATATTTTGAAATTCTGCCACACTCTTGAATGTGGAGGACATTTCAGTGCTAAAAAGACTTCATCTAAAGTCTTTCAAAGTGGATTTTATTAGCCTTTATTATTCAGGGACGCTTACAATTTTT